CTCCCGTCTCTCCATCTCGCGACGCTCCTTGTCCCGCCTCTCTCGTTCCCTCTCGGCAGCGGCTTCCTGTTGTTTCCTCTTTTCTTCCTTCTCGCGCTCCCGCCGCTCGCGTTCGCGTTGCTCCTCGCGCTCGCGTTCCCGCTCCTTCTCGCGCCTCACACGTTCACGTTCACGCTCGCGTTCCCGTTCCCGTTCGCGTTCGCGCTCTCGTTCCCGCTCCCGCTCTCGCTCGCGCTGCTCGCGTTCCCGCTCCTCGAGCTCCGCTCGTCTATCGATCGCTGGTGGTTCCGGTTTTAAACTCCAGGAAACCGTGGTCGGCGGGAATCCGGACGAGGCCCGTTGCAATCTGCGTTTTGTCATCAACAGAAATCTTATCAGGTCTGTTCTCGGCACGAGAAACACGCTTGATCTTGAATGCGATAAAACAATCTTTTTAAATGTACACGTACCCTCTCCAAGGATCGTGCACGGAACCTAACCCGCCCAATGGCGGCATTTCCCTCGACGGCGGGAAGCTAGAAAGACCTGGGAAATTGGGATTTGGCGCGCCGAACGTTGACGGATACCTGCCGAACGGTGACATTCCTGTTCCTGCAATGGTTTTCATGGAATCCACGTTAATCTCTTAAATTCTATCGTCGATATTTTGTTTAGGTTACGTGGATGATAGATTACCTAAATGTGATGCCGGCGTAGACAGGAACGGGTGAGGTGGTGGTGGTGCAGGATGAGCAGACGGTATATTCGTGGGGAATGGAGGCGCCATGGGAGGCGCGCCAATCCCGAGACCACTTGGTGGTCCTCCTGGATAAAGATGGCCCGGTGGTCTGAGTAATTCTGTTTTAGTACCAACAACGCCACCCGCCTTAGCTTCCACTTGCTGTTTCTGCTGATGATGGTAAATTTCCCAGGCAATGCGCACGTGCATCGCATTCCACTTTCCACTTTTCTGCAAAGGAACGCGAACATAACCAAGTGGCCCGTGTCGGTTGCGACACTGGTGTATACAGCATAAAGTCATCTTACCTTTGGTGCGAACGATGTTAAATGATTGGGTGCGACGAAAGGAGTCGACGGCGGTCCAATTCCCGGATGCAGGAGACCAGTATTGAAACCAGAGTACCCGGAGAGATTTAAATTGCCACGAAAAAATGGTGATTCGACTCCTCCCAACTTGGGGATGTCCTTAAACTAACAAAGTAATGATTTATCAAACTTAGAAGTTCATTTTCGTCGTTCCCAGTTCGATGATCTACGGGTTACATACTATAGGAGGTGGAAACAGGGTTGTAGCAGCCGACGGTGGTAGCAAAGGCGTCGTGTGCTGGTGTACGTGAGTGTGTTGGTGTTGATGGTGGTGCATTTCTGTCCTGAGGTACGGTGGCGGGCCCAAGTTGCCAACTCCGACGTTTCTGTCTTGCGACGCCAAGAATCTATTGTCAAGCTCTCGCCTTAACAGGTCTGCCTGACCTGCGACATGAGTTACCCCTGCTTTCAGTTAATGTCTCGTTCTACTCAGGGTCTGCCTTTTCTATAGCTACAATTCCAAAATTGTAACGCAGTTCATAAACTTACTTGTTTGAAAGAGGGACTCCGCGGAGAACGGGTTAGGATTGGTCGTTGGTGGTGGTAGTGAAGGCAGTGACGTGTGCGGACTGGAACTGGAGACGGGGGGTGGTAGCGGTGCGGCGAACATTGGTGGAAATGTATGCATGCCTAATGGTACTGGTGGAGGAGTTGGCCTTGGAACCGATGTCGCTGTTGCCGGAGACAGTTGCGAAGTTGTGCTGCTACTGCAAGTTTCAATTGAAAGTATAGAAATTGTGAAAACAGCTTCGCGAAACTATAAAATGCACGCGTCGGAGGTTCGTGTTACTCATACCCAATCCATCCTTGTGGTTTGGAGTAAGCAGGTAGACTAGAATTGGCTGGAGATGATGTGTTTGGCACACTTATCGGTGTGATGCTACCTCGACTTAGACTACTCACGTTACTGCTGTAACAAGTAATGTCAATGTAAGCATTTCGCTACGCAACAGATAACAAAAACTGTACGGGGTGTATCATAGAATGTGGTTATAATTGTACGAACAAATTACTAGGAACATCCCGTACATGATGACAAGATTATACCTGTAACTATCCCTTTCCCGACTTGGGCTGTGTCCACGAGGCGAGTTATTGTTTCTTCCAGTTAGGCTACAGGCTACCATATCTCTATGAGCAATGGTATTCGCCGTAGTAACGGTATTTGTTATCGTGGACACACATGTCGTGGTGGCAGCGCTTAGAGGAGTATTATGATTGGTGGTAGTATTCCCTACAGGCTGTTTGCTTATATTAGTACACGGAGAAGCTCTGCTACCTCTCTAAAATAAACAGAAAATGCTCGTGTTATTTTCTCAAGCGTCTCGTTCGTACACTCTATTACTTTAGGGAAAGTCTACGGCTAAAAGATGAAGAAAACATTTGCGACACTTACCACCTCCGCCCGTGAAGAAGCAGAGTGGGAAGGTGACGGTACCGCAGGCGGAAGGTACGGACTGTGGTTCAGAGCAGTGTATGGTGTATAGAGGGGTGGATAAGATGGTTGAGTTTGGGGATAAGCAGCCATGGGTATCGACGGTGGATAGCTGGTGGTAGTTGCTCCGTTTGACGGTGCTGCCGGGGTAACACCTAAACTGGCTACCGCGGGACTAGTTGTATGACTCGACGAAACGAGGGGCACATTAGGTGTGTGTAACGCAGGTATCGTAGTATGAGGCTGTTGGGATAAGGATGGAGGTGGCAGAGCAGGAGAAGCTGGTCGCTGTTGTGGAGCTATTGCACGTGGATTCGCTGCCAATGGACTAGTCATCTGAAAATATATTCAATCAGTTATGCAGCCTCTGTTTACAGGAACAGAATAAAATGTTGAAGAAAGTTTACTTACAGGTGGCTGGGATATGTGAGGGGGTAGAGTAGGACTGGGAGGACTTGGAGCTGTTGGTACTGGTGCAGATGCAGGCACAGGTGGTGGTATAGGTGCTGGAGCATCCGTTGCTGGATTGGAAATTTGTCCACCAGTGTCTGGAGGAGAACCTCCTGCCCCGTTTGCTGGAGGCAGTACGTGTGGTGAAGATGATGGCAACTCGTCTGAAAGATAAACTCAATTGAAAGACACTGTCATGACATTGTGAAGCTATTGATATCCGTGTTACATACATTTACGTGCAAGGGGTGGTGGGGTAGAAGATTCAAAGAGTATCGATTCAGCATCCGAGCCCTGCAAGAAGGAAAATAATGTTTAAAGAACCATTGACACTTGATACGCATTATTTCTTAGGTTCAAGACTACGTACCTTATCGTCTTCTCCTTCACTATCACACTATAACAAGGGTAAGGAAGATATTAGGTAATGTTAAAGCATTAATAAGACATTTCTCTCAAAGTAATCAGTTGTGATACTTACGATATAACCTTTACCCGAACTGCAATGACTGCTAGCCTGTAAACAGACGAATAACACAAACATGAGTATTCGAAAGGGTATTATCTGCAACTATGGGATCATTCCTTTCATTAATATAAATCAACTTACATCGCTGAGGTGGTCCCTGGAACTGTCTGCGTCCTGGCAATCCCTAGGTATACCAGGGCCGTGCAGTTGTTCAGATGCTCTACCACTATCGTCACTTGTACCTGCATCTAGGCCCTGTTAAACAAGTAAGTGACAATCAGACCAATGTTTTTCCACGTACAATGTATAAGTATCAACATATTACCTGGTTAAGTGTCGAAGGTGTCAGTATGGAATTGTGTGTATAATGGTTGTGCTTGAAGTGGTTTTTGATGTGGTGCTCGTTGTGTCTATTATTTTGTCCTGTATCCACTTTTGGTTTCTCTTCCACTATTGACAGCAGTGTATGCAGTTTCTTGACATTATTTTTACCAGCTAGTTTTATTGCACTCTGCAATGACAAAGAGAACATTCATATTATTTTCTCAATACGCAAAAGACAATATCTCACACAATCAAATATTCCCTCCCAAAAAAAAACAACATCCAAAGCAATCATCAAAGTTCATTAAAGCCATTCATTCCAAAGACAATCTCTATCCCACAAGTCAAGATTTCCTAAAATAAAAAAAAACCTTCATATACAAAATCAAATCATTCTAAATCGTTCCATCATTGTTCCCAGCAGTCTCGATATTTCCCCAAGAACCCGCGATTATATTCCAAGAGAGCCGTCGTTATTTACACGGGCCTGTGGATGCTGTTGCGGGCCAGTATCGCGATAAACGGTAATGTAATCCTTGGCAGTGTGGCTTCGCGCGATCTCGAGCTCGACTCGCGCGAATTAAAATAATCGAATTTCATTCGCCGCGATCATTCATCGTACGTGACACGCACACAGAGAGAAGGACAGAAGACCGACACCCGACGCATATATCCTGTATCCTATTTTGAATTTAACACGCATATGACTAGCCGCCCAGCAGTCATCAGGTATATTCAACACGTATGGTAAACACTGTCCACAGTTTTCCACCGGCGTGAACGGGAACTATATCGGCCGCCGTGTCACTCGTGAACGCCGTCGGATTTCCTCGGCGAGAGCTAGGTGTAAGAACCGCGAGATACTCGAACGTTGGAGGCTGGTCGCGCGCGCACAAGTAGAAAAAGCCGCACGAGAACGCCTTTCCTTCGGGTGGCTTTAAACCGCGATGTCAGTGCACATTTCCGAACGGGTGGCGCTCTGCCCCCCACCCCACCCCACCCGTC